TAAAAGCTACGAAGACTTTAAGCTCGAGCATTGCCAACTTCTGACCTGCAGCATGAAAAATACAAGAATGAAAACAAAAAATTGTATAGTTTCTGTGCTGATTTCAACAAGAGACATATACCAATACAGTTTCTCGGTCCTGCACTAAATGGTATGTAGACATAGGGATGACGTCCTTTAATATTTTCCGGCAAAAATCTGTCCGGATCAAAAACATTTGGATTTGGCCAATATTCTGAACGTCTGTGCACGCTGTAAAYGTTAACTSCCAACATCGTACCAGATGGAATTAAATAATGTTCTGCAAAATAAATGCAATTACATAGAAAATAAAATAAACAATCAATAGTATAACTGTGATATGAAAGTATAGGTTTATATRAATATATATTTCATACTTAGCTGCAAATCATGAGAAATTTGCCGAGAAATTACATGAGCGGTTGGATACAAACGAAGCGTTTCTTTTAAACATCTCTCCAAATACGAAAGTTTTTGAAACGACGAGGTCGTCAAATTATTATCATCACTCATAATCGATTTTATCTCGTCTCTTATATTTTCCTAAAAATAAGTACGTCATTTATTATTCATTGTATGACATGTGTAAATCGCTAAACCTAAAAACATTGCAAATTTTAATAAATTTTGATCGAATTCGAGTACCGATAAAACTTTTTATTTAAAGTTAATATCATTCTTCATTAGTATTAAAAACAAACTACTAAAATTAGCGAAACAATTCAACGATTAATTTTTTAATAATGTATTAAAAGTAAAATATTGTTTCATTTGCTAATCACATTTAAACTGATAATTCTGTCTAGTATAATTACCTGAACATCTTTGTGCTTAGCAAAAAGACTCAAAGCAAAAGTCAGTGCACTTGCAGTACCGTCGTGACCCTAGAAAATTTTATTTCATCAAATATTTTTCTACTTTTGTTTTCTAAATTTATACATTTACAAGAACATACTCCAAACGTGAAAGTATCAACTTCTTCACGAATTCCTTCCTCATCTATTTGATTATTATTCCAAGATGCGGCTATGAGCAGATCTAACAAAGAAAGTCTTCTCTTGTACGGCATATCTGTAACATAAAAACTCTATTGACCTTGATTCTTTAAATAACTTTATTTTTATTTAAAAAATTTGAATACACTCATCGTTCTTCTCCGGATTCTTATTAGAAACGTCATCCTTCTCAATATTCTCATTGATTTGCAAATATTTTCCATTAGTTTCTTTATGAAAACGTTTCCTCTCCGCTATAATCTGAAATAAATGTAACACTTTCCTTATCTAGAAATTTTTGAAAAACGTAGATATAAATGATTATTACGAAAGACGTACATTTCTCGAAAAACTGTGCAACGTTTTCAACGCTTCGTTTTGTAGTCTACCATGTGATGTAAGCATAAATATAGTATCGTAATAGCACCAAGGTCTCGTAAATCTAATAAACAATAAATCACACTCTTTATTCGATTGACTTTCTCTCTAAACAAAAGATTAATGATTTACCTATATGCAGCAGTTCTGCCATAAACATGAACAACATTACGATATTTAGTTTCCTGCTCGCTATTTCCTGTCAATTGGGTACCCAAAGCTGTTTCTATAAAGAAGACTCAAAAATAAAATTTATTGGTAATATTATTATTAACATATACAGAAAATGTTTTTTTTTTCACTAACGGCATATTGCGTTGAGAGTGTACTTGCTGATAAATGTTCGTAAATCTTTAACAATAGGATTTCCATCTGCTTCCTTTTTAAGAGATTCGACGAGATTTTGTGATTCCTCAATTAAATTAATAAAGTAATGTTTAAGGATATTGAAGTGAAATGCAGGAGTTAACATTTTCCGTCGTATATGCCATTTTTCATCTGTCAAATTAAGTTATATTTAAAATATTATTAAATTTATTGAAATGTTTTAGGACGAATTGCTTTTCATTTTTTTTTTATTGCAAGGATTTATAGGATAGTATTAGTCCGTGGTGTTTATATGTTTATTTATATGATATGATAGCATTAGGTAATATCTCAAGTTTTCCGATTGTCATGACACTTGTTAGAAAGTAAATAAGCGCTCCAGGATAGTTGTTCCTTTGTTTACTTCGAGAATAAGGTACAGTTAAAACTTTTTCGAAATACGAACGATTAAACACGTATTTATACTACGCCTTATTTAATTTTATTATTAACGAATTCTTAATTTTAGATATATAGTAAAAATATTATATTATTTGTACTTATATAAA